CTTTTGTCCACACATCCTTAAAAAGGTTTAACTCCATGCATCTAAAATTAAGGCCTTGAAATTCCTCAAATTCATTAAAAACACATTAATCACAGGTCTTCCTTAAATTTTATTATTGAAGCATTATTTAATCTCGTATTTTTTTTCTCATGGGGATTTTATGTGAAGTAAAAGTTTGAATTGTCTGCAGACGCCTCCGTGGCGTTCTGTGATTGAGGCTGCCAGTGACGGTAGACCTGATTGTTTTTGAAGCATAAGGTGCTGTTTGATATCCTAGACACGGCAGTGGGAGTATTTACCGGCTGCTTCTCCTGTTGTTTATGGGGGAAAACGGTGGAGAGTAACAAAGTCTCAAATCGTCTCTCTTATTTTGGGTAGCACTTTTGCTCACAGTTGTTCCTCCACACCCACACACAGCCTTGTTCCTAAGATACAATCATTTTTGTAGAACATCTTTTTAGTTGCTAGCCAGAGATCTGAGGGAGTTCACACCTTTCCCACAATAGCCTCCTCATGTGTTTAGCAGATTTTCTTCTCAGCAGCACATGCTCTGTCGCAAAAGTTGAAAATGGAACCAGGGTGGCATCATTGCCTGCTGCTTATGGACCCGTTGCAACATAAAATGTTCTCTTGCATTCTTCATGTCTGCTTCCCTGCACTTCCCTCCTACTGACAGACTAGCGAGGCCAGGAGCCCCCTGCATGTCATTGTTTACATCCGGAAATTTTGTGCATGCGCACAACGCTAGCGGGCGAAAAGACGATTCTTTTACATGCCGTCCAGAAGAACAACTCCGCTAACTAAATGAAGTCTGGAGGTGTTGGTATTATTAATTTATTGACACAGCCAATGAGGAAATAACGCAGAAAACCCATTAAAGATCAACTCAAAACCTCTTTTTTCCCGCTCTCTGTCGGCTACGCTACACATACTCGTTGCCATAACAACCGACAACAACGCCACTATGTATCAGGATTCAACACCAAAATTCAAGCAATCATTTCCCACATAAATAACAGAACATTCAGTTCATTACAGTTTTGTTTTTAGACTTGATTATTTTTTTGTGATTATTAACTATAGTGAAATACGAAAATATGGTCGATTAGCTACCTGCTAGCTTACCGCTAGCTTACCGCTAACACTGCAGTGGTTACCGCTGCTGCTAGCTAAGCTAACACTGCAGGGGTAGATTAGCTACCGCTGCTGCTAGCTAAGCTAACGCTGCAGGGGTAGATTAGCTACCGCTGTTGCTAGCTAAGCTAACGCTGCAGTGGTTGTTGGTTAGCTAATTTCAACACCTTCTCCACTGATAATCTATCAGAGTTGGTGTTTGTTTATTTTATAACTGAACCAAAACCCACCGAATTCCACATCTTATCGAGGTTGTCATAGTCAAGCTGGTGTAACTGAACCACTTCCCTTATTTTTTTCTTTTTAATTAAAACATCTTCCTGACATTCCTATCCAGCTGTAGTAAAGCACTTAATTCCTTAGGTTTTTAAAAAATATATATATCAGACGTACATTGTTCCTAGAGTTTCACTTTTATTTTTCAGATCATATTATTTCTAACACACTTAAATTTTTAGGTTCAGTCTCTTACAAAGTTTTCGTTTCCCACTTGAAATATTGTTTTGAATAAACACAAATCAAGGTTTTTCTTTCTTTCTTTCTTTTTATCAGTCTTGGAGGGTCAGCTAAGATGCCCTGGGGTCAGCACCAGCTCCACCTTTGTCGAAGGTGGTTTCAGTCATGAAAGGGCTTTCAGCTCACAAGAGGGGATTGGTCCTTTGGTGGTTGCTAGGCAACTGTATCAGCATTATTCTGGCAAGTCAAGAGGAGCTGGTGGGGAAGCAACATGCAAGGGTATCTTATAGTCTGTAAGGAATGCTGAGTGGGATCTGTCAACAGCTTCTCTGTAGATCTTGAACTGGAATTTCAGAAAAGTCTTTGCTGGAATTTTGAATTGTTTCTGGGAATAAAATGGAAGCTAAAAGCTCAGATAATGTCTTTGATGTGGTGATGGAGGAGGAGACAATTTCCCTTTCTAACCTGTGAATAGGGCACAGCTGGTGATTTTACAACATCAAAAGAGGTTTTAGGTTCAGCAAGCTGTTTATTCAGCAGATGTTTGGCCATTCACTCCCACTGAATCATCAGTTTCATTAATATAATGCAGTATTTAAAAAGCAAATGGGGAGGTCACCTCTGCTTTTTATTTTATCCTCATTTAGCGATATGAAGCTATTTTATTAATGCTTTCACAAATTCCTTTGTTTAGCAAATTCTGCAAATATTGTTAAATATTTCTTCACTGACGTGATTTGCCATAAATTGTCCACTTTTGGTTCATGGCAAATGTAATAATCGGGGATCAGTTCAGCTGTAATAATAAACTTCACCATTTCCACAGATTTTTATTGAAAAGTAGCTTCTGCAAATGTTTTTTCCATTTTACTAAATAACAAAATTGGAGTAACTGAGACTAAAAACCACAGTTGTCTCAATCATTAACATTAGTTCTGCTAATACTAAACACCAAGATGCTGTGAAGCAGAAGGTGATGCTAAGTGCAGAATTCAACCGCGTTGATGCCGACCTGCGTCAGCGACGCAACACCGTCTACAACATGGCACATCGCCCTCAGCTTGGTCAGATCACTGATCGCACACCTTCCTGTGTGGTTGAATTCAGGAAGCAGTTGTTTAGATCAGACTTTTCACACACAGTTTCAGTTTCATAGGTGTTGAGTTTTATTAACTCTGAAGCCTAATCATTCAGCATGTCAGGAGATTTTAAACGGTTTTAGATGCATCGTGGGTAGAGAATAAGCATCATTAGCTTCTCAAGAAACTATAATTTAGGGGAAGCAAAGTTAGCAAAAAGGCTAAAGGAACAATGCCCTGTGCTGTTAGCGGACGTTTTCCAGTAACAACCATCAGTCATGGACTTAAAGTGACATTAATTTTCCTCTTAAAAGTTGTCAGCAGTTTTGATGAAAGGAATTTGCTCCTCATTATTTGTTCTCTGGAAATCAGATTAAGACATTTTATCATAAATTATGAAGTCTCTTCCTGGAATATATGCTGCTGTGTTTGGACTGGTCTGGAGGGTCATTTGAGAAAATATACGTTATACAACCCACACAGCCAAGTCTTGGGTCCATTACTAAGCACCGTAATTATGCCATCATTTTCTGCGATGCCTTTTAATACGTGTTCACATCCAGCTCAGATGGACAACAAAGTCTTTGAGTCTTTAATGTGTCCATTATCAGTATTAGCTGACTGTAGAAATGGTGAAGAGCTTTTATCTCCCGCAGCATGGAGGTTAAGAGCAAAAGTTTTTCTTATACATGCAACAAAAGCCAGTTTGGGCTTTAATAAAGTCAGTTTTAAATAAAGTCTGAGAGGTTAGAGTCCTTGTCAAACGGCGTTTTGACTAAAGTCCAAAAGGTTGGAGTCCCAGTTGACGGACTAAAGTTCTACAGCTTTTTATTTCTCTTTCTCACATGCTGTTTTTATTTTAATTATGTAAAGCACTTTGAAATGCCTTGCTGCTGAAATGTGCTACACAAATAAAATTTGATTGATTGATTGATTTAACCAGAGATGGTGGGTTATTTATTTTGGTAAAAAGCTGTTTTAATCCTAAAGCTAACAGCCGTTTCTCTCTTTCCTGAGGCGAAAACTCTGTCAGACATTTTCCTTATCGCTGGAAGTAAAGTTCAATAACTGCCCTTGTTTTTCCTCTCAAGGCCACTGCCCCGTGGCGTCGCCATCAATTTTTGGCTGCCCCTTTGTGTGCATGAGTGCACTCATGATAGCGCATGCCTTTTAGCCTCCCCTTTAGTTACGGGGCAGCTTATTGAGTCAGCATTGATCTCTGCTGGTGTAACTATTGCTTGTACCTGTTTAAATCCAGAAGGCAGCGTTTATGCCTCTCGACGGTGCAGTTGTGATAACAGGGCCAAGGAATTCTCTGTATCATTATTTTCTAAATAAACTCTGTATGCAGCAGCTAAGTAAACAGTTGAAGCAACTGAAATGCTATTTTTGGATCAGAGAAATAAAGAAACGATGTTCTTTGTAATAAAGTGGAGCTTTAATCTGTTTAATCACAGAAACATGTCGGCACAAGGCCAGAAAAAAGAGCAGATGATGAAAGAATTGGTTGGATAAAGACAAAGAAATAAATATATACTATACAGAAATGTATGCAGATCTTAGCAGTCAAGCAGAAATTAAGTCGCTGTTCACGTTGAGGTTCACTGCAGTAAAAATATTTATTGAATTAATTCAGCTTAGAAAGTGAAATTCATTATAGTGTTATAGTTTTTCCTTATTTAGGATAACTAATACAGAGATGTTGTTTATGTATTATGTGTTATAAACATTGTAATTATGGATTAGGACTCTGTTAGCCTGACATCGGTGCTGATCAGGCCCAGTGATACCGACGTGATTAATGCATGTTTTGGTACTTTGGCAGTGTGGGCTGGTGCTGAGGATCTGGAAAATGAAATCGGCATAAATTCTGTTAGCAGAAAGAAGCAAGATTTATTATAATGCAACAGTAGCTGACAGCTGAAAACCACCTGACTGTGTGATTCTCACCTTTACTTCAAAATTTTGATCTAAGAAAAAGTAAAAACTGTGAGATTAAAGTCGTTTCTGTTACAAATGTGTGGAAAACTAAAAAAAACAAACAAACATAATTTTGAAATTGAGTTGTTGTCGTTAAATGAACAGTTCCGTTAAAATCATGAGAATAAGTTTGTAGACGCGGTCACCACCGTTCTCCTGCCACTTCCTGTCGTCGTCTTCGACTTTGAAATGAAACCACTTTCACTACTTGCTGATGTTTGGAAGAGTCCCTGTTATGTAATTCTTACATAACTAAAGTCCTGGAGGTATTTCTTCTAGGTTGGCAGAGTCCGATTCCTTACTAGGGCATCTTTTCCCAACCATTCACAGCAGTTCTCCGTTCTGTTGCAGGTGTGCACCATGTCGTCTAAAAGTCATCCTCCCCTCATGAAGAAGCACAGCCAGACGGACCTGATCAGCCGCCTGAAGAGCCGGAAGATCCTCGGGGTCGGCGGCGAGGACGATGACGGGGAAGTGCACCGCTCCAAGGTCGGGACGTTCGCACCAAAAGCCAGTTTATTAGGACGACCAACAGCTGCAACTAGAGATTATTCTGATAATCGGTTGAAAAAATAGGCACATTCTGCTGGTTTTTCCTTTAAGTGTTTTCTGTACTGTATTAGAAACACATCTGACTATTTTTGGGTTAACCAATTAAAGAGGCAGTTTTATGTGAAATTTACATTTTTGAGCTTTACAAAAATATCAAAAACAAACTTGATGCCTTTATTCTTCCACGAATGTTTGAGGAAACCTTTAATTTCCATGGCAACCATTATTCAGCTGTGCAAAACGCCTGGTGGGACCGAGCCCCGCCTTAGCGGTCGAAGCTCCTCCCCCACTCAACTCCTTCAGACTAGCCAGCAGCAATTAGCAAACACCTGGTGGAACTGAGCTTCTATCTGCTGGTCTCATTATAGGAGCTACTTCTGAAACTCTGGTAAAAAAAAACGTTAAAGGGTTAATAGAGGACCCAGGTTGTGATGACTTCCTGAAGGCGGAGCTTCAGAAAGAGCAGGAGCTTCTTAAAGAGACAGAGGCCCAAATTCAAGGCATTCAGTTACAAGTTATATTTGATATATTTAATCTCATTTTGATAACAACTCAAGGTAACATATTTGCTGGATTGTGCTGTAAAATGACACTATAAGTCTGGAAATACTGGCTCTTAAAGAATTAGATAGCAAATATTGCCTAAAACCTCTGGGTGAAGCTAAAACTATACCACTTATTTACAAAGGTTTTTAATTTTTTTTTACCTTAAATGCAAAATAAATACAGCTCTGGAAAAAACTAAGAGCCCGCTGCACTAAACCCCATTAAACCTGCTGGTTTTTCCACCAAACACTGATCTTTCAACTCTTCTCCAGTTAAAACATTAGTGTTGTTGTTTCTAAATGAATAAAAATGTCTGCTAGTAGTAAGTAGTTCATAATGTTAATGCTTAATTGCTGCTTTGAGTTTATTGTTTCTATTACTCTTTTTGAGTTGAGTTTTTGAATTACTAAATCACCATCAACCCGATGAATCGTCTCGGCTCCTACAAACGGCTCCGCCATAAACGAAGCCGTTCAGTTAAACTGCCATCAGTCCAGCAGTGCGTAAAGAAAAATGCTGATATTAACCCACAGAGCAGCTCTGGACAGCCGCAGTGGGCTGTTGATTGGCTCGTCTCCGTCGTTCGCCTCTCACGCTTCAGGGAATCTGGATCACGTAAAGCTGCAGCTCCGCTGAGACCGGACCGGCTCCCCCGGGAGGCCCGCTTCGTCTCGCGTGTTGGATTACTTCCTCTTCTCTTCATGTCTGTACTTATGGGCAACGCAAACCAAAACATAATGGCTCCCATGCTGGCTTGTCCAAACAGAGGAGGAACATTTCGATTTCATGCCGCAGCTGCAGGTTGTGGATCGTTTCTCTCCTTCCAAAGGACTCAAATATCGCAGTTTTTATCATTTCTTATTCTGTTAAATGTAAGACGTCATGGCTGCGCGCGGCCGCAGCAGACAGCTCTGCTCTGAAATATTAATCAGGGAAGCGAGCGAAGGGAGCGGAGCAGAAGAGAGCAGGCATACGGTGGCAGCTGATGGCTTGTGATGAGATGTCAGCCCCCTTTCCTCAGCCCCGTTTGTTTTCTCTCTCAATGTTTTAGCGCGCAGCCTAACCCAGACATCTGTCACACAAATCTTTCAGCGAGCGCAGTTATGAAAACATTTAAATAAAATCACTTACAGCAGCATCTCTCCGTTTCTGACAGCCACTGTGATTTGATTGGACTCTTCAGCACCGACTGGGCAAAACAAAACCAGCAGGGTTTACCAGTAAATATGAGTTTTATGTGGAACGCACCGATCCACGTTTTTCAGTTTTGATACCGATATCTGAAGTTGGTCTCAGCCGATACAGCAGAATTGATTTAAAGTGTTGATTTTTTTTTACACACAGTCAAAAATTTACTGAATTACAAACTTATTTGATAACTCTACACCCGTAAAGCAGATTTAAATACACCAATAGCTTCACTAGATGGTAAAACATGTGAAAAAAACTTTAATTTATTTAGTCAGTCCGTTGGGAGCAGAACAGCCAAAAAACTGATAAAAACAGATTAATTACTTTGGTCGAACATGTAAGAATAAACTGCAACAAACCTTTTTGTCAAATGGTTCAGAAAATGAAATTAAATGTAAAATAAATAAAGCGTAGAATTAGACTGAATAGATCTGCCCTCAGGCACTTTGTCACCAATACCTGATCAAGAATTTCTTTCAATATCGGTACCAATACAGATATTAATATTGATTAAAAAAAGTTCTAGTTTCAGTTATAACAAAACATTTTTCTCACGTTATGAGTGAAATAATCTGCCAGTGGAACTTTGTCATCAATATTAAGGACTTATTTACTTAAAACAAGCTGAAAAGTTACTTCTAATTTAGTTTCTTATTTCACGTGTGCTACAATATTTGCTCTAGAAACTAAACCAAACATGGTTAGAATGTGAGTTTTTGCAGTGTATTGTTTTGTCGTTGTGTGGAGAAAAGGCCTGTGGGGTCGAGTCTAAAAGTAAACCTGGCTGAAGTTACAGACTAAAGGAAACGGTTGGATTTAACCTTGTGGGGCCGTAAACAAAGGGGGGAAGTGCTGCCTGCTGACCGTCTCTTCCTGACTTCTTCACTGACATCAGCAGATCCTGTAACAAAGAGCTGAGGGGTTTTGGTTCTGTCGGATCGCCAGGTGCTGCCGTTTGTCCTGTCTTTTGTTACCAATGGCTCCGCTGACCCTAATGATGTGCTGCAGCTACAAACAAACCTGGAGTCGAGCCCTCATCACACTCCGTACCATAAATGTTTTGTGTGCACTCTTCAGCCGCGGCTGTTTGATGGGCACACAGGTGACAGCTGTCCAGCTGCCTAATGTGAAAACACGGCAGTGACTCACTTTCTGCTCTTTGGTACTTTATGTTCACCACAAACGGCTTTCAGATACTTTGGAAATGTTTGTCAGCTCTGCCTGTCGCAATAAATCAATTAACCGCATCGTAAATTAAACTGGGCTCAATAATTAGCATAATTTATCCTTTTTTTCTCTCTTTCTGCCAAACGCTGGATGGTGAAAGTTTTCAGTCTGGTGATTTTTTGACTTCAGAGTCGATTTTCTTTGTTGTTTCTGTTTATTTATTTTGGGTATTTAAAATGACTTCAGTGTTGATGTTGGAATTCAAGGTTTATTGATCTTTTTTAAGCCATCACTATCATATTACTTGAAAATGGTCTCAAAATAACGATATTATTGAGTATCGCAATAACTTCTGGGACAATTTATTGTCCAGTGAAACTCTGCCATGACCTGCTCTGCACATCTAGACGTTACAGCTTTTGACTATATTCTTTGTGAAACAGTTTCAGCTCAGACTTGGAAAACATTTACCAAGTAGATTTGGTAAAAACCTACTTTTATTTGGTAAAAGGTCTACTCCAGTACCGACTAACCAATCAATCATTTAATACATTACCTATTCACCTCCGATCCGGACCAAAATCTCTGGTCCTCCTACCAACCTGTGTTTTATTGCTGTTTAAAAGCTTTAGAGGATGTGAAGCTTTGACTGTTTTTGAATTATTTTTACCCTCTGAGTCTCTGAAACCTTCTTCTCTGGATGTGAACAGGAGCCGTAATTAGGCCTGTTTGCGTCTCTTTCCTGTTTTTCTCTCACACCCCCAGCCGACCCAGAGCCATCAGTTAACTCTCAGGAGTATTCGTCATGGCGGTCATGAATATTTATGTGTTCCTGTCAAAAACAGCCTCTGGAGCAGGAAGCTGATTCACCTGGCCGCATGTTTGCAGCTGGTGCTCAGGGATCCACAAACAGGCGCGTCGGCTGCACAGCCAGGAAGGATGTAATGGTTTCTGACTCAAACTTTTCAGCTCCCTAAATTTTAGGTTTTGGCTCCAAGGGACTCCGTGTTTTAAAAGCTCCCATTCAAAGACGGCAGCAGCCGCGGGCGATCGTTTAGGAATAAACCGAAGGGAATCTGATGCTTTGTTGGATTCTTACTTGTTTGCAAATCTTTGAAAAACAGCTTCTTGTTCATCTAAAGTAATAACTATGTAGTCTCTATCAGGCCGGTCGCAATAAATCAGTTAATAGCATGATGGATTAAAACAAGATCAATAATTTACATTTGATTGATTCATAATTTTTCTCTTTTCTCTCTTTCTACCCAAAAAACTTAAAATGTCTGAGTTGTAGCATTAAATGTTAATTAGAAATTAAAGTTTATTTATCTTTAAGGATGTTTTTGCATTGTTATCATGACATTACCATTGAAAATGGTCTCAAAGCAACAATATTATCGTTTATCGCCATAACTTCAAAAACCTTATGACGGGCTCGGATGTGACGTTGATCCAAATTTAGATTTAAATTGTGACGTTTCTTCAGTGCACTGCAAAAACACAAAGTCTTACCGAGTATTTTGTTGTCGTTTCTAGTGCAGATATTTAAGACAAACTCACTTAAAAGTAGCTTTTTAGCAACAAATATGAGCTGGTTTATATTATTATACTTACAAGTTCCATCTGCAGATTATTTCACCTCCAATAAAACATGTTTCCCATGTTTGTAGATTAATTTATCTGCCAGTGGAACAAAAGATTTTGATTAATATTAAGGAGTTATTTACTTAAAACAAGCTCCTATATCGTCCTGAAAGGTTACTTTTAAGTTATTTCAATTAATCATCTAGAAAAATTTAGTCTCTTTTCTTTGATATGTTTTTAAATTGTTTGTGTATAAAATATAGACATGAATTAAAATGCCATTTTTAGCTAAATCCTCTATTTTTGTTGCTCAGTTTATTTTTCTGTGCACCAGACGCGCTGCTCTGCTGCATGTTGGTACGGTGACGATAAAGATCTTGGACTGTAAAACCCTCCTCCTGATGCCGGAGCTTTTCTTTCATTCACTCTGATGTTTTGCGGTTTTGTTGAACAGAAAGTTACTCTCCAGTTGATGCCGAAGCTCCCAGTAAACACGGCGAGCCAGAAAATGATTCATCACTTCTCTCCCGTTGTGTTCTTTGTGTATTTTTAGTTTCGGTAAAGCCGTCTGACTCCAACGCTGCTCCTCTTCACAGACGAGGCATTTCAGGATGAAGGGATCTAATTGATGTTGGAGACTCAGAAAAACGTTTTTTTTCCTCCTAGAGATTGTAAAAGTTTAAAGAAATAAACGAGTGGTAGGATTTAAGAAGGGCTGTTTGGGTAAAACTTGGCTGAGTTTTATTTTTAATTCTGACTTTTACTTTTTTGGGGGGAAGTTTATTTACCCCTTGCCCTTCTGCGTCTCAGTCTGAAAAGGAAAATCTAAATTTGTCGGTGCATTTCTGAGAACATAATTTCCAGTTACTTGAGGACAGAACTTCTGCTCTTTGCAGATAAAAAACAGAAATAACCTTTCAATGCTGAACATGCGGCTCTGCACACAGAAAACTGAAGTATTTAACAGAGGGAAGCTTAAAGGACATGCTGTTCATCTTAAACAGATTCTGAATTATCCAGTGAACATGTTTTCCTACGGGCTGATCAGAGATGCATCTGTTGGAGACGGTGAAACCAGTTTGAGTTTGTGAAGTTCTGACCTGTGGAAATGGATCTGTAGGTCATTCTGATTTCTCTCTTACAAATATCACAGAACTTCATGAATAATCAGATTTTCAAACTGATTATTCATGTGAATCCCCTAGCAGTGGTTACTCCACTCCTCCTTGTACTTGAGGAAACAGTTTGAATCTGATTTTTCAGGAAATTTCATTTTCTGGCTTCGTCTAAAAGGAAATGCTTGATGACCTTTGACTGAGCTTCCCTTTGAGTTTGGCAGCTTTCTGTTGGAGAGGCTTTATGGAACAAAATTAATGCCGTTTGTCAAATCTTTGTAAGGTTTTTGGCGCCACCACTGCAGCTGTTTGGTTTCTCATTCATGGTCTCTGAAGTTTCAGCTTTAGGAATTGTGTGTTTGTCTGTTTTCACGTTTTGTTACATTACAAACATTAATGTGTTTTACTGTTTGATAGTGTAGAGGATAAAAAGTGGACGGAAAAAGCAGTCATGTTTTTACAAATGTAAATCAGAAAAACTTGTAATTCCACCTGCAAAATCTAACAGAAACCTTTGACTGTTCCTCTTTGCAAACAGATTAAAAGTAATCGGATTGGATTGAATTAACATGCATGATCGATCATCTGTGATGGTCTCAAAGTACAGCTCAAACCTGCATAATTCACAGTAAACGTAAAATATAAAAACATATTTAGTTAAAAAAAAATTATTCAAGACAATATTTTTACAATTTTGATGATGTAATATCAATTGCTTTAGTTATTTCCTGAAACGGTTCAATGATGATTTTAGTAATAAGGTCATTGATTGCACTGAATTTAATTAAAGGGTGTTAGAGTAAGAGGGGGTTAAATGACAATGACTTCTACTTATAAAATACTTCTATTTTCCAGTTATGTGCCAGTTTATCATATAAAATACATTTTGTGCTGCAGTGTTTTGGTTTCTCTTCATCCACAACAGACTTCCTCTGGAAGTTTTATTATTTTTCCAGTTTTAAAGTTTAATTTTCTTTTTTCTTTTGGCGTAGCAACAGCCCTTGATTATTTATTAAGAATGCATTGTTATGACAAACAGGTCATTAAGGAGGTGAGGACTTTCTGAGTCTCCCATTAGCATAATAATCTGTTCTTCGTCTCCCCAAGGCTGATTTAAAGAGCCTCTTTTTAAGAACTGCGCAGCTTTCAGTACGGCTGCAGGGCGGTTTCCATCCCTGCTTGTCGAGGGTTATCGGATGCTAAATATCTGGCGAGATGGCAGGATTGTGACAACATTTCCCCTCTCGTAACTCATTTCCTTTTTTTCTTCCCCTGTTTGCTCACAGATTAGTCAGATGCTCGGAAACGAGTTGAAGTTTGCGGTGCGAGAGCCGATCGGGTTGAGGTGAGACTTGGAGTGCTCTCTGACTTCACAGCAGAGTTTAACTCGTCTTTGTTTCCAGTTGTTTGGAGACAGATTCATTACGGCATGTTTTTCTCTCCCAGGGTTTGGATTCTCATCTCCGCTGTGGGTTTCACACTAATGGCCATAACGGTAAGTGTTTAAAAGGATCCACGGTTAACAACAGACTTTGTTTGAGAAATATTTATTTTAGATGTAAAAACATTTAGTTTTTATACATTTTAGTAAAATTTTGTCACATGAACGTCGCCGTGTTTCACGCTGCAATGCATTCTGGGTAAATGACGTCTAATGGTCCAACTAGGCCAGCACCGTCCAGCCAAAGCAGCGATTAACATTGTTAAGCCTTTTCAAATTGAACTGGAGCGCATTGAAATCGATCAGAACGTAGAAATCAGAAGAGATGATGAAGATGAGGAGGACCAAACAGAGGAAGAGGACAGAGTTGGCCGTAGGAGCTGCTGCTACCTTCATAAATGAAACAAAGAATGACACTTACCTCTGGATGTACTGTGTGAGCCGGTAAGTGCTTCTACAGCTCTGTGTCCGGTCCGATAACAGCTTTTTAGGGTCCGGTCTCCGGGCCCAGTGGCACCGTGCTACTGCCTCAGAGCTCTGTTGGCATTCAGAGAGCTTCCAATGCTCTGCTGGCAGCAAGGTTTAGGCGCTTTGTGGATAAAAACTGTCAGCACGGCATTTATTCTTAGCTTGTTAAAGTAACGATCATCTCCTAGAGCCTTTGTCAGTTTTACTCATACAAATGACTCCAAGTCTTCTGGAGAAAAATGTTGAGAGCACAGATTGGGTCCTTCGGAAGTTGTTTGGCTCCAGCTCGCTCCCACTGCGCTCTTCTTCTTTTTTTTCATGTGGCAAATTATCCAGATTCGTATGGGAAGATATCCGGGTCCAGATGCAGCGTGGCATTATCTAAAATTACACCAAACACAACATGACAAACAACTCGGGTAAAGTTAGCCTTCCAGAATGGACCTGATGATGTCATCAACCCAGCAAGTGACAACATGGCGACCACCATGGGTGAAAAATATAACAAAAGTTATAAATTTTATAAGTAATTATGATTTTTGGTGTATCACAAACTGTAATTTTTTAGTTAATAGGAAAATTACAACATATTTAAGTCAACATGTTAAGCTAATCTTGGATCCCTTTAATGCAGAAGTAATAATTGGCACCATCAATAAAAAATGTGCAGATAATAAAAAAAAAATGGCAGATGCATTTTGCAAAAAATCAGACACAGTTCTCTCCAGATTCATCATCAGTGTATTACGGAGCGTTATCTGCACACACAACTCCCTCTTTGTCAGTCTTGCTATCAAATTCTCAATATCCTCAGTGTTCTGGGCATGAGCGGCGACACTGACTCACGACCCAGAAGACTTTGGGAAGCACAGAATGCCACTGTGTTGATATGACAGGACTGTGTTGAGCCTTTCTTTCCCCTCACAGGCTCTGGTGTTTCCCAACCAACTCTACGAGCTTGTTTTCGAGGAGGAGCTTTCCACAACGAGCATCTCTGTTCGCCTTTATGGAGCAGCGCTGCTCAGTAAGTTTCAAAATGTCCAAACTCACAAGAAACGCATAGAAAGACACCAGATTTCCCATCATGCCTGGTGACTCTGAAGGCTTTCTCATTGTTGGCACTGTGTATCAGAGCTGGGCCGTAACAATTGGAAAAAATTTACTGTACTTTTTACTTTTACTTAAATAACTTTATTACGATGCATCGCTAGTTTTACTGGAGTAAAATTTCTGGATTCTCTACCCGACTGCACTGCAAAAACACAAAATCTCTTTTTTTTTTTTTTTGGTCTAGTTTCTAGTGCAAACATCTTAGTAAACTTGAAATTAGACAAACTAACATACAAGTAACTTTTCAGCAAGAGGTTTGTTTTAAGTAAATCTTTAATATTGATGAAAATTACTAGGTCCATTGGCAGATTAATTAACTTATAACATGTGATAAAAACTTCTTATAAGCAAAATAATCTACCGATGGAACTGGCACTTTTTCATCAATATTAAGGAATTACTGACTTAAAACAAGCTGCTGAAAAGTTACTTGTCTCATTTCAAGTTTACTAAAAGATTTGCACTAGAACCTAGACCAAAAGTACCTGGTAAGATTTAGTTTTTACAGTGTGTAAGTTCACTGAGTGAAAAACAAGCTTGTTTTAAGAAGAAATCAGGTTTTATTAGTTTCATAAGTTTTATATAAAAAAAATTCATTTGGGAAAAAAAATTTTTTCTTTTGCCTGATGGCTTTTTTTATATGAACTGTTTTAATTTTGAGCTTTTAAAATGCCAAAATTTCCACTTAATTTTTACATTTTGGTTCATGTCATGATTTAATTCTTAAAAATTAAATGATTAATTTGATCAGTTAGTCACTACTTGACTTTTCACCACATACTTTTTTACTCTTGAGTAATTTCTTGAACTTTAACTTCTTTTTACTCAAGTGGTATAAAGTAGTGCTACTCTTACTTGAGTACAGTTTTTAGGTTCAGTGCCGCCTCTGCAGGCTTTTAACATTTATTTCTGCCGGTGCTATAAATACTCGTTGCTCAACTGCATGTGGCTTTCTTGCAATAATGTCTTCTAATGCATTCATTAGAACTGGCACACACTCCTCATTCAGACGTGACATAAAGAGCTCTCTTTCTGCTGGAAAAGTCTCTCCTTCGGGCCCCAAGCAGATGCTGCTTTAATCTGATACAGTTCAATTCTCCAGGAAGGGAGACGGCTTCAGGCGTGGAGGAGAGAAATTCTCAGCAAAACTAACAGCCAATGCTCCAGTCGCCTCTTGTTTCAGTCGCTTCAGATGTCAAGTTTAAGTCCGGGGGGAACTTGGTGGGAAATGGCGGGACTGCTGAGGCGCAGACACAAGGAAATGCACTTTGTCTCATTTTTCGCTTTACTCTCAACCAGAGGTGTCAAATTAAGATCATGAATGCTCCTAATGAGCCGGATGTGCCAGAATGTATTGATAAGACCCATTAATAAACTCTTAAAATATCAGAAAATAGCTGCCTGCATTTTAGAAATGCTGTTTGTCATGAAATAAGGCGGAGGAAGCAGAGTAGCTGACTCCTGCTGGAGAGAGTTGGCAAAACTTCAACCCAACGTTTTTCTCAATTTTTGTGAAAAATTAGCAATAAACTTAAGTTATGCTTTAGCATAAAAACATCCTGGGATTTCCACAATCATGGTCTGGAGTCTAGAGGGCCACACAAACAGCTGCAGTGGGCCAGATTTGGCCCCCGAACCTTCAGTTTGACACATGTGATCCAAACTCTAAATGCCCCCTAGTGGTCCGCATGATGTGTTGCATGTAAACAACTGTTTATCAGAATTACAGCGAAAATGGCAAAGAAACGGAACAACTGGGATGTTAAGAATTAATAAATAATAATCATAAATAAATAATAATTAGTAAATGATGCATAAAATAATAATAAAATGAAATGGATAAATATTTATTTGTCGCAACATGAGCTGAAAGTGCGTCGTGTAAGCCTTGCTTACCAAAGTATTGTGGTTAGAAATGGTAATGCCAAGAGCCATTGTTTTTACTTGATAAAAAAAGATTTAATTAAGTACAATAGATAAATAGAAATTGATGGACAGCAGAGCAACTCAAGTTTTCTTTTCTTGTGCTTTTAAATCACAAATAGCCCTAAAATGTTGTTAATGCAGACAACACTTGGTAATGAAGAACAACTTGTTTTTTTATTTCCATGTGTTTGATCATTGGAAAGATTAAAATCTACGCTTTCGTAATCTGTGAATAACTCAAAATGCCCCGAGTCACATTTACCAAACAGCCTGGATGAACAAAGAAAACAATACGCGAGTTAAACATGTTTTAATTTCAGGTTGTATTCATTAAGATGTCGTGTTACTGGGGGGTTTTGTGTCAGGTGGTCCGTGAGTTTTTGCTAAATGTGTGAAACGCTGCTCTAAGCCCAATAAATCGAGGTTTATTTTTTATTCTGATGCTCTGTGCCAGTCGCTGACAGGCGACAGACACTGATTATAAATAAGCCAGGTAATTACGCTGTTTGTGCTTCGCCCTGCTCTCAGACTGTATTTTAGAGATGAGCAGCAATCATTTCGACGGCCCTAATTTGAGACGAGGCCGTCAGTCAGGCGATTAAATGGCTCCATGAAGAAGAGCGCGCAGCGTTTAGAGGCCAGGGAGGGAGAAAAGGATGATTTATCTCACAAAGTTCTCACCTCTTCACAGCATTTTCCAGAATTTCATCACTTTAATCACTTTGTCCTACTTCAAACCCAGCAGGAAACATCCGCTGTAGTCCAACTTTAACATTTCTGGATTAAAAATAAGCGATGAACCGGCGAGAATCTTAACTCGTTTAAAAATCTCTGACCTCACAATTCCAGTTTTCGCTCATTTAATTTTCTCTTTCAGAAGTAAAATGGAACATTTTTCTGCTGCCATTCGATATTTAAAGCTGCACAATATCTTCATCACTGTATCAGATGCATTCATTAGAACTGGCAGCATCTGGAAGGATATTATATTTAATTGCAAGTCAGTAAAATATCTGCATTTCCATGGATTTCAATTCTCTCTCTCCATACGTGTTACCAGTGGTTGAAATGCTAACAAATGACAAATGAACTAATTAATTATCATTATTGGTTGTAATATTTTCAGATAGATGTAAATTAAAATGGACGTCGTTATAGCTAGCACTCCGAGAGCTACAAGAGCGATTATTTCTTTGTCTGTTTTGTAAAGCGCATGTGTCAACCCCGAGGCCCGGGGGCCAAATCTGGCCCGCCGTAGCTTTTTATGTGGTCCTCTGGACTCCAAATTACATCAATAATTCTCTCCAGTTTTTCACAAATCAGAAGGATAAATTAAATATTCAGGTTTAAAAATTATTATAATTTTTAAACATTGAGGAAATTTTGGCATTTCCCCAATCCCCAAAACAAAACAAAACAACGTTGCATTCAAATCATCCAGATGCTTGTTTATGAGTGAGGAAAAAGCTGTGAGGTTAAATTTACCCATATCAACAATCAGAGCAATACCTTTAAATGAAAAACAGGAAGTGATGCAGGATGTGGTCGCTTACAGAAACGGTGTAGATTATGATTTCCAATAAATATTGTTTTTACCTCTTCGCTTCATTTCCTGACTAAAACTTGAACAGCCAGTAACGTCTCCCAAACTGAAGACTGTTTTTACATCATGACAGTTACATTTACTCAGTTTACTTAAGTGACTTTAAAAATAAAAAGACTTTTATGAGTATTTTTACTGCACTGCACTTTGTACTTGAGTTTTTATTATGACATTTTTTTGGATTCTTCAACTTCACTGAATGAAAACCGAACATGTTTTAACCGAACATCCATGAGACGCAGTCGCACACCTGCAGCTTTTAATTTCATAAACTGATTTGAAAAAAACAAAACGATTTTACCTAATTGTTTTTATTTATAT